TAAATGATGTCTCTATATAGCTATAATCCAAACATGTTCGCGATTTTTTTATTTCTAATTATTTTGAAATGGCCCTAATAAACTCGGTTATCTCCCACTGTCGACAATGACAGGTCTCGTTAATAATTAAACGCAAAGAAACCCCAGCTGACGATATTATTACAACTTATCATTTATCAAACAAGCAATGTCATGTGTATCAAAATGATCAATCAGATGATCACAACAACTTTCTTTACACGTCTTCTTACTCTAAAAAAAAACTACATAAACATCCTTCCAATTATTTCTCTTCAAATTTTAATCATTTTTAAAAAATCTGAATAATAATTTTATCTAACAAGGATGATACAAACGGACAACTGAAAGATTGAATATAAATAAAATTCAGTAAAACCCAGCAAGGCGGCACCTTTCTGACACAGTATAATAAGGACAGAAGGTCGAATCGAGACAGATTGTAGAAGAGAGTTGAAGTGAATACCTTCACTTTATTGGCGAATGTGGCGATTATACTTCGTATATAGTAAAAGGGAAAAGAGGTGTTAGTTGTATTCATGAATAGTATGTTCACGTATGTACCATCGATACAGAATATACTAGAAGTAAAGGTGGTAGCCAAGTTCTTTGGTGTAGACTTTAACGAGCACTCTGAGACCTCAAGAGGAATAGGAAGGAGCACGTTTATCGTTCGGCACATGAGAAAGTCTCAAGGAAAATAGACGCGCCTTGGTGTTCGAGATAAAAGCTTCAGCGAACTCAATTCGCAACTACTTTGTGTTGCTTGGTTTCAGTATAATACTCTTCTCAATGTTTACGTTGAATAATTGGCGAGTATGTTGGATAAAGAGACCGCCCATTTAGAATTTTTTCAGATTAATACATTTAATAAACGGAGCTTTTAAGAGTACGGAAGATTGCAATTAATTCTAGATACTAATGAAGCTCCGATCGTTCCGGAAATCGAAGCAATTCTTCATTCGTGATCATGAGCTGCTTTTATAGATCGTTCAAGTGCTCTGGCAATAATTGATCTCCTTTTACAGTGACATTGGATTTAATATCAATTTTCAAACTCACAATACATGATTTATCGTGTGGAATATCGTTTTTTTTTTATATTCGCTGCAAACTACATCTCCAACAATGAACTAACTTTAGAAAATAAAATAAAAATATCAAACCATTTTGCATAATTAACTTTTTCTCAAAGTATCACAAAGTGTATCGTTTAAAAAAAAAAGTTAACAAAAAACAATAATAACTGACTGTGATGTTGACATTGATGAATAAAACCATAAATTTGTCCTTAAAAATCAGCAGAATCTCCAGAAGATTGACGTAAAGGTTTTATAAGTTAAAATTGGCTATTTTAGCCACAGGAACAACATGATAGTGTACTATAGAAATAGCTTTTTTTCTTTTTCTTTCTTTCACTTTCAAGCTTCGCACCCTTTTGTATGTTTGCGGTGCAACGAAACAACTTGCTCGGGTTCTGTACCACCAACCTGAAGACTCGCGTGACTAATTGCACAGCCAGTCCGTTCATAATTATTTACGTTGGCGTATGCAGGAGACTCAAGAAATCTAAAGTTCTCAGAATGTTGGCTTTTGTTGAGGTCATTCAAGTCAGGTGGCTCTGAGTTGGTTGTTTTTTTGGTTGAATATTTTTTCTTATCAGAGATATATATATTATTTAATAGAGATGATATTTATTATGATGGACAGGAGTATTTAATTGATTGCTCTAATGAAGTAATTGAGTTAATTAGTGTCGCGCATGTTTTGAAGCTGATGGTATTAATAATAAAAAAGTAAGAATGCAGTTGTGTTGCTGTGGAAAAATATTACATTTTGCGGCGAGTTGAGCAAAGATTATATCGACACTTGGTACACGCCTGCTCGAACTTCTTTCTTCTCGTTCTGCAACTTATCTCGAATCTGTGCTTGCAACTCTCTTGTCCCTTCATCTTCTCGCGTGTCCCTCTCTCCTCTTATTCTTCTCTTTCTCGCGCGATGTCATCGTAAGTAAAAAACTAGACGAAGATTTCTCGTCGGAGCAGCTAAATTGGTTCAGATGCCGCCGATTGCGTCGGCTTTTCTCGTAAAAGAAAAAAAAAAAATAACCTAGTGAGTATGGACACTGCAGGGACAGCAAGTCACGTTCTATCAAGTTTCCTGCATGCTTGTACGACTGATTATATGAAGATTTTTATTCTCTATCTAGTTTCACGCAGATGATATCATAGAGTGGGTCACCAACAAAAATATTATTTTTCACTCTACGTGACTTGAAAGATTAAGTATATTTAAATTTTAACAAGTGTCATCCACCAGAGCCAACGGATATTCATTGAAATAAAAATGTCCTGCGTGATGCACGACCATTCGTCAGTACAATAATTGCCAGTGGAAGATGAACAAATCGATAAATCAAACGAATAACCAATCAATAGCATGAGATAGTTTGATTTTTTTTGCTACGTCTTTTGAATGTCTTTTTGTGCACCGAAGGACTCCTCATTTTCGTTCTTGTCTCTCTGCAGTTGTATACATCGCCATACGAGACAAAAGGTAGACATTAATCGCAAGAATCCCTGCGGCTAACGAGCTGCTTCTTTCTCGCTCTCATCTGTCACATAGGAAATCGTCGACGATGAGACCAGCGTGACGACTCCTTTGGTCACGGGATGAGCGTGACCCACCCTTGAATCAAGAGAGAACGAGAAAGAGAACGTGTGCGTGATCCTCTGGCCCATGAAACGACGTGATGTATGGTTATGCTCTAGCGAGGAGGGCGTGTAAACGCGTCCTCTTGATACCAGAACCACTTTTCTCGTTTCTTTTTCTCCCTTTCTGCACTTGGTTTGCTTTTCGACACTATCTTGAATTTCTCCAGCCTCTCAGACAAAGTCATATAATAAAGTCTTTAGCATTAAGAGAAACAAACATTAGACTGCACTAAAGTATTCATATTGCACAAATGAATATTTATTTTATGATAATTCGATTATCGAAGAAAAAATGGTTTATTGATATGACGAAGGAGAAGGAGGGTAAGAAGATGAAGAAGAAGAAAGTAATGGAGAACAAAAACATAAGCAAATGGATTAAATGCAACAAAAATGAACGACCTATTGTGTCTGAGGACAATGCATATGTGGCCAAAGGGTCAGAATGAGTAATGCGAGGAGTAATCTACATCTTTGATAATAAATATCACAAGGCCTCTCTCTCATTTCTATTCTTCTTTCATCTTCCACGAATAAAATGCATCCTTGCAATCTAGACTTTGAATATTGAGATATTCTTGCTACAACTTCTCAAGTTACTTGACAAACTCAAGTGAGAAATGCTAAAATAATATATACATTATCTGTACACTCATTTAATATTCCGTATTATTTCAGTTAAGAGAAGATATTTTTTAAGAGCTTCATTTTTTACGTTAATTCAAAATATATCTTTCAACATGATGAAGGACAATCTTTTTATATATACATATACATTCTCCGAAGCTTTTAGCGCAGTTCAGTGGATTCTTTTACAAAGAAGAAATGAAAGAGGTAAAAGAGGAGAAAAAAAAATGTGAGAGGCGACGAGAAGATGGAGGTAAAGAAGAGGGAAGTACCGAAATGGCGGTGCTTGGGAGGGTCTCGAGGACAAGATAAGCCTTTGTGCTGGACACGAAAAGACCTCTCGTCTTGGGACAACAGATCCCGTCTGCTTGGCTCACATTTCGCAAGGACCAGCATCATATTTTATAAAAAAAAATTTCCTTCTTCCACTCGTTGAGGTCTTGAGGAAGCCGCCGATTTTATTATTATCATTATTACAGGCTTTTATTTTTTACTCCTGCATATTTCATATTTTCGACTTAATTGAACAATAACTCGCCTACAGCATCATTCTCAATGTCTGCACTTCATCAATGTCGGTATATCAATTCTCCATTTCTTCATATATTTCATTTATTCCGTCATTTTGAATTATCCGAATAACTAGATGTGATTTAATGTTCTTACGATGACGTCGATCGATTGGCCTGTCCTCGATCAATAATTCACTTTTTCTTTCTCTCTCTCTCTCTCTCTCTTTGTTTCCAGCACCAGGAAATACGATTGGAGGTAAATCAGATGGCAACAGCCAGAGAAAGAAGAGAGAATAGTAATCGGTGAAATCGTTCCTCGCCAAGCAATAGCAGCAATTTTGCCAGTGTACGTTTATCGCGTTTAATGCTCCATTTGTTGCGCTCCAGGCCCCCCACTATCATAATCATTTTTTTTTGAGTTCATGAGCTTGCTTAAATTCTCGTCGTTACTCCACAAAAATAATCATGTGATATTATTCTTGAATACTGAATGGTAATTTTATATTCAAAAGAAATTCAATTGATGATTTAGAAAATATTCTTTATCTATTGTTCCTTTGCTAATAAAATATGACGATAAAATTCCTCTTCACTTGTAAGAATTCAATCTCTGATAATAGTTAATCGTTTGTTCATTTCCTGAAATAAATGATTCTTCTTTTCGTTTTATTCTACTTGATGTTACTTATTTTTCTGTGGTTTCTTCCGTGGCTTCTTCCAACTGAGATCGATAATAGAAGTGTCAGACAATTAAGCTAAAACTTACGTTCCTACTAGAGGTGAGAGTTACTGACTCTTCCACATGAACCTTCATCCGCTGTTTCTTCTTCTCTTACTTTTCGTTCTTTACCATTCTCTCCCTTATTCTTTTCTGTCTTGGAATTATCAGATCTGGTGGTTGTCATCTTGGAAGAATTTACTGACGACATGACCCCAAAGAGGAATACGCGCGTGCGAGACGTTATCATTCTCAGAACATCTCGCGCGATTCTCGCGACTTTTCACGCCACGAGTTTCCGGCGTGCTTTTTATTTATCACACTCACTATTGTATACTTCTCTTTTATGCTTTCCGTCCGAAAAAGGATAAAATAAAAAAGGCAGATAAAAATAAAAAATGATGAACATACCTGGCATGCAGACACAACGAAATGTTCCGGGATCATCAAGACAGGAACCATCATTCTGACAAGGATGAGACTCACATTCGTTGACATTTGTCTCACATCTTGGTCCAGTAAATCCTTGCGTACAGTTGCAGGCAAAAGAACCAGGCGTATTAACGCAGATACCATCATGCTCACAAGGAGAACCTGAAATAAATGTTTGTATATAAGTTAAGAGCACGCTATAAATAACTATTCCAATGTGTAGATGAAAACAAAAAGATTTAGCAACTAGCAAAATAATAAAGTGCAAGCAAAGTTTCCCACAAAGGCATTAATAAATGATATGTTTTTTCACCTGAAAGAGTAATTGAATTCAATCGAATGGGAAAGTCTTCTCTCTCGATAGTCTGTTATGGGAGTATGTATAATATACAAGAGCTAAGAGACTCGAGAGCTTGGAGTTTGAGTCGAGTGATAATTAAAAGGCGAATGGACGCACGCCGCATGATTAATACGTCCGTAGGCCACATTGAAGCTTGGGTAAGAGATGGAAAAAGAAACCCAATCGAGAGCGAGAGTCCTACAACTCTTCATTGCTAATAAATGCATCCAACAAAAATTGTCTTAATTGGCTATTCCATTTTCGAAATTGGTCCAAAGTTATATTTAATGATAATTATATGATCGAAAAAGTCAATCTTTAAATATTACACTGATGATAATAAATGCATGAATGACATCGTAATAATCAAGCCTCCAAGCTAGTAGTGATTATATAGCAATAGAAATGAGTTTAATTGCTAACAAGATGATTGCCTAGTTAGCTAATGTATAGCGTGTTGACGAATTACGTGCATAAAAGTCAACGACAAAAGACAGAGAGAGTTTACTATGGTCATTCCAAGTATACATTGACGCGTGATCAGGATTTCCAATCGACGGAATCCAGGGTGCGATTATGTTCTGACCGTAGATGGCCAACATGGTAGTATAATATGTTAGAGCAACGTCGATAAAACCCCCCAAGGGACACGCGATGGAATGAGAAACTCTACAAAGATTGTTGTGTGTACACCTGCCATCAATTATCTCATATTTATGGACTTTTCCACTGGATCTGTAGGTATTTGCTAAAAATTTTAATCCGTTTTTTATTTACTCATCTAAAGGATGGTTAATTAAGATTAACATTTATGAGAAATACTCGGGTTTGATGAAGCCATATTTAATTGCAGAAAATTTATATAACTGGGGGATAACTGGGAGCAGGAGAGTCAAGGGGCTGTAGAGAAAGAAGAAAACGATAAATGAGGAGGAAAGAGCAATAACGCGAGTTCTCGCATACCATTCTCGTGTAATTCGCATCCGTTTTTCCACGCATTGTAATTGCCGCCGTGCGTCTTCTCTCCAGATGCGCTGACGAGAGGGCGAGCGTGCAAGAAGTGCATTGCCAGAACGTGTTTACAGTTCCAGTGGCTCGTCGCCAATCATCGCCAATGTGCGATTTGCGAGATGTATAGAAGATATAATGAGGTGGAAGATAAGGAAAAAAATTGGATACATTATGAGTAGGTACTAGGATTTTTTTCTAGTACATATAAGATTGTTAAAAGTGATTGATTTCCCAAAGAAGCTTGTCTCAGTTATCGATTAATATCCCGGTCTTATATCCTTAAGCAAAATTACCCAGTTTCTTTTTCGTCATTTTCTTGACTCATCCCTACTCCTTGTTGTTCGAGAAACTCATATGAAACTCGGGAGGAACTTAATCCACCAGAAAATATGCAATCTAGATAATAACAGAGTCGCAAAAGCGGTCGAGAGGTCATTATGGTTGTTATTAAACTCAAAATAACGTTTTAACGTTTAATTAGGTTTATCCTTATGACGCTGAGATGCTACCATGCACGAGATACAACACGTGTAGATATTAAATACTTCCGAGTCGTACAAAAATTGTAATATCCGCTCAAAGATTTTGAATAGAGGAAATAGATCATCAGCTGATGTTTTTTTGTTTGGAAGAGTCTTTGAAGAATCAATTATATGAGATAATTAAAATGCGACTTTTTTTAGTTGGAGAAGTTGGATGGTAAGTTTAGAAATTTTCGTGCAAACTGTATGAGCAAAAGTACAGCCTACACCCTCAGGTAGCCCCGAAAAAGGCCCCCAGGGATATCAGCTTACTCCGGCTGTTCATAGTGGCGACGCTGCCGAATTTCCGTGGCACAATGGAACTCTTTGTTCACTCCGACAGGTAGCAAAGCACTTTCAAAAAGAACGAAGATTCATCGACCAACAACATTAGTGCAAAACTTTTCTGGACCAAATAGTTTGAATTTCGTTATTTTGTTCTACTCTCTATCTCCTTTTAATACTTCAAACAAGAGGCCTCTGACCTAGTCTTATAAAGTTTCTTCTGGCAACATATACTCTTCCGCCTACAAGTACTCAAGTAATTCGACGCCGGACGTCGCTATAAAATTCTCTCCAGCAAGGCTTCCTGGAATTCTGGTATTAATTCATAAATTCAAAATCTCCTACACAATTTCATGGTGGTAATAAAAATTATCCAACAATTTGAACAAAATAATATTCTGTCTAGTGGTAATTGTTGTCAGTTGATTATACAACTTGCGTAAATTTACTGCAAATAAATTGTCCCTTGGAAGTGGCTAGATGTGTAGTTTACTGCTGGACAACGTAGATCTTGACGTAAGTAACTTGCTTTCTTCACGCTTTATCGCCTGGACGCGAGAGTTCAGACGGGAAATAAAGTTGTGGAAATAATGCGAGCGTCTTATGGTAGTAGTTTTATGCTGCTAAGTCATGTACGTAGATTTTACACGTGACTATGAAGCAAATAGCACCAGCAGAATGGAAAGATAGAGAAAGAACACGAAAAATGGGCGATAATTATGTTAGGCTGTTAATAAGTAATCTAGAGTTTCTCGCCATTTGTTTTTACACTTTCCATGTTTTGCAAATATCATTAAAGCTTATCCCAGCTAAGATCTTGAATTTAATTTAGAAAATATGAAAATAAATAAGCTCAATAGTTGAATAAGAAATAATGGTACAAAAGCAAAAAATTATACAGATTATTTGTGGAATGTTGATATCAAGTTGAAATGAAAAGACTTGAACATCGAAGCAGAAAATACGATGAATTGTTGTGCCTTTAAGGCATTCGTCTTTAGCAACAGTTCCATTTGCTCAAGTAAATAATGATGAAGGGGAAATGTTGTGAAGCTACAGAGAATCTTTTCCAAGTAATGCGCTTATAATTACACTCTTCGTATCCAGGACCTGACACTTGATCCCCAAGATCCGGAGTTTCTTGGCCACTGGCGAGGTAAAGAAACAGGGACGAAAGATAAGATCCAGAAAGAGTTCACTTCATGTGAATGAAGCAGAAAAAAAACCCTAATCTGCTTTCGAAGTTTAACAAGAAATTTCTTTCGACATCAGTAAGTAAAAATCTTAAAGAGAAAAAAAAATAGAAAATTCCGAATTAAGATGACAAATAAGCAGAGGTGTGCTTAAGTAAAGCTGCTGATAATCCAATTGATGTCAAACAAGCAAAAGAGTATTAGAGAAAAATTTTTAAATAATTAAGAGAAAAAAGTAATCAAGAAAAATAGATTGAATTCCTAATGAAAGATACGTGACTTGAAGAAGGTTGATGACACTGGACTGATCATTGAAGCAAAGAGGAAGTAGGATACTGCTCAACAACAGGGAGTACAGTTGCACATGAAATAATATCTTAAGAGAGAGAAACTTGCAAAAGTATAAGATGAAGCTGGAGTAAGGTAAGATGAGCCACAAAAGAAGTGCTTCTGATTATTAATGAAGTGTCTTTGTCTGGAGCGAAACACATTAACCGAAGAGTACTTCACCCACAGCTTTCTTGTTTTATTTATTATTGAGCACTACGAATGAAAAGGATTTACTTAGAATCATTTTAAAACCGCTCCCTTTGCTTATTCTTATTCCTCTTCAAGTTTCACGTTTTCTCTTTGCTTTCTTTTTCTTTCTATATTCTGTTGCCTTTAATAACATATTCGCATTCCTGACTAGTTAATCTTGCTTTCAAGTGTGTTCCTACTGATATACCTATAGCTATCTTGCTATCTCTGTTTCTCTCTTCACTTGTATTCTCATCTCTTATTGAATTTAAAACAGTTTAAGATCGTTAATATTTACTCGAAGAAGCTAGAATGACCACTCAATAAATCATCTGATAATTATGTGACATATTATCCACTAGATATCTAGGCAAATATCATCATCTTTATTCTTATCAGGTTTACAGTCGATGATGCATCAATAAGAAGCCAATCAGTGCGTAAAGATTCTTCAGACCCTATTAATTATTGCTACGTAAAGCAGTTAATGAATATCAAACCCCTAATCATATGTCGCAAATATCAAAAATGATTCTATAACAAGACATGTGTCCACAGAGTATTCAGTGACAACGAGCTTTGATATCGCGGATATGCCGATGAAAGATGAACGAGAAAAATGAAAAACAAAAATCAAGGGAATGGAATACCCAGACAGTTATTAAGGAACATCTTGTACCCCGCGGGAGTACTTTCGATCGCTGACGATGTGTCCTGGGGACATAAGATTACTCGTCGATGATAATAACGATCCAGAGTACAGTCGCACGATATTTAGTTTTTTTATGTGCTTCTTCATCGTCCAGTTTACCTCGCGGCTTGATCTTGATCCTACAGAAAAGTCAAACGACGAAGGAAGTTCTCTCACAAACAGATAAGATCATCTAGTTTTCTTCGTAGACGACATTCACTTGGCTTTTTTCTCCTAAAAGTAAGTACATAAACTTAAAAATTTTTTTTACCTTGTTTACACTCGTCAATGTCCTCAGAGCAATCCAGGCCTTTATATCCGCTTGCACAGGAGCAGGTGAAAAATCCATTGATGGGACTTGTGTCACAAATTGCACCCTCGTGACATGGATTTGATGTGCAGGCGTCATCCAGATGGCAAAGTAAACCTGTAATGATATTTTATTATTAATAAAATTCACGGTTTTCCTGCAATATAAATATAATTGCACCTTTTTTTTTAATTATGTTAAAAAACTCAACATGCTCCAAGCCATTTTTAGTAATCAAAAAATGTATAATTCAAAGAAATGAAGTTTTTACAAATCAACGTAACATCATTTTATAGAATTAATACTCTGGAGACTGTTGTAAAGTTGATTAAATAAAAAATATTTTCTCCCTTATCAAGAGAACCACAGAATCTTTTTATCTATATTATTGTCGCCAGCAACGATCATGGAGGTTGATTCTCTAGGACAAAAGTGTCGGTGTAACCAAACATGGTCTCGATGCTCGCAGCCAAAGAAGGAGATCACTGAGACACTCGTTACTCGTTGAGAATAATCGTGATGTGGGGCCCCACTGCTTTTACGTCTGTTCAAAGTGTTCACCGACAAATATAATGCTCCCCTCGATAAATTACTTGAACTTCAGTCGACCCTCATGTCCACAATTGCATAGTTTTATGTTTCTTATTTAAGTATTTCTACATCAACTTTTATGTATCTAATCATCAGTCAATTGAAATATATGGAACTTGCGGGTAGTTTAGGTCATTAATCGAGAATTCTGGAGACATCTGTCCTTATGTTTCTCTGTAGACCTTGACTCCAATAAGGATAAACTTTCTGTTACATTCTAGATACTCGTTGATAGAACAACTGTCAAGATACACCTGCTTGAATTCTTTAACATTCTTTTACTACTTGATGCCAAGATTCTTTTGTGGTTCTCTGTAGAATAGAAATCGTAAATTAATGCACTCACCAGTCTTTCCATAGGTACATTGACAGTAGAAACTGCCAACACGATCGATACATGTCGCACCATTGAAACAAGCAGCAGTATTGCAGTCATCAATGTTGATGCTGCAATCAGGTCCAGTCCAACCATTCACACATATGCACGAGTAACTTCCGTGTGAGTTGGTGCATGTAGCTCCGTTGTGACAAAGCGAAGGACGTACTAAACACTCATCAACGTCCACCTCACACTGGGGACCTGTGAAAGCTGGAGGACACAGGCATGCATACTCGTTAACTCTGTCCATACACGTTGCTCCATTCTGGCAATGATTTCCAATACAATCATCGATGTTCTCCTCACAATGTTGGCCCCGGAAACCTTTAATAACAGAAGAAAAAACGAAATTAGTCAACCATGAATAAAAAATCAATAAATGTTAATCATAATAATTGTATAACAGAATTCATAACTGTTTGACACGCTGAGATGAGATCATTTGACGCAATGATGCATTAATAAATTATTATAATAATTATTACTCGTGAGAAAATATTTAAAACATTGAGTACTGAATACAATGGTATTGATGAAAAGTGGATGGAGTAAAGATTGATTGGAAAAATGTTTAATTAATGGATAAAAATGATTGAGTAGGCGATGATGAAAGGTAAATAGCAAACCGGAAGATCATGATGGCTAATTCTTCAGCGCATCAGCGAATTGTCGCTTCTTCTCTTTAGCACTGAAGGTAAATCAAATATTTAGATGGTCGCTAATGGATTTGCGACGGCCTCAGCTGACCTTGCTGACTCCTCCCGGAGCTTCTTCATCAGTTATACCAACGTATACTCGATGAACCAAGACATGAGGTTCATTGAGCTCTTGATAACTTGAAACTATAAATGAAATCCATGACCACCGTAATGTAATGTCCATTAAACCGTAAAAATTGATTCTTAGATCCGGATTAATCGGATAATAAATTAATGGAACAAAGTAAATATAAATAATCGACGATATTTTTTAGATATAGAGTCTGTGTTAGAGAGTAGTATTGGAGTAAACATCAAGGAAGACAAATCGTTTTGGATAGTATTTATCGTACAAGGAAGGAAATCAACTGACCACAAAACTTAACGGAGTTCGATAAGAAGCGCGGGTGTTGAATTGATAGGGATGCGCGTTAATTTCTTTTTATTCATGTATTCGGGTGCCTAATCATGTCTACGATAGCCAGAACGTGGGAAAGAGAGCCGCGAAAGTCGAGAAGATAACATGGAAACGATACCTTCCTTCCTACCGGCTGACTTCCGGTTTACCCAATCCTACAACATGTGCATGCATTACTTTTACATTCATGAATGAACCAAATATTACATATATTTGTTATTATTTTTTAATTCAAGTGTTTCTGATGTTTTTTATTTTTATTTTTATAATTATCCTCATTCCCACAGATAAGTGAATATCTTTCTCGCGTGAAATCATAAAATAAATTAACAAGCTCAATTCGCACCAATGTTTTCTCACGTGTGTTCAAAGCCCGCGAAATTTATTCAACCTTTTTTCTTCACACATCAATCTGTTCTAATTAATTGATTCACACTATTCAAATGAATCATGAGAAATCGACTGGTTATTGTCAATAAATTTCAAAAATATTATATCTTATTATTAGAAATTTTTTCGTAACTTTTCTTTTTGCCCTGGACTTTGATTTAAAAGTATCTCGAGGGCATTCTTATCAACCTGGGTAAAATATCTCACTGGGTGATATATACCTGGTGATCGTGGCCCATAGTTAGCATCTAATGGCCCGCATAATTTATGCCCGATAGGGCAAGTTAACCATCCAATCTTTTATATGTATGTAGTCTGCATGTTGCTGTGTACACGATTAAACGCGTGTGAGACACTCTGGAAAGAACTACACAACGTTTTCCGCGCGCTCTTGCCGATCCACGACTTTATTATACAGCCAAGCTTATAAGATAGCATTAATATTAACGCTGTGATTTTTTTTTTGTCTCGAAATTCACTGCTTAGCCATTTTTTTCTATTTTGACAGACTTCCCGGAAGAACTTTAACCCGATACTTATATTGTCTACCTTTTTACTAGTCCAGAAGAATTTCTGTTCTTCGGGGTTTCTTCTCGGGTTACTCGACAGTCTTCATAACTATATCTCTTATATGAAATCTATCGTCTTGCTGGGATAAATTGATCTTTATTTTGCTTTATTTACACTTGCTTTGCTGTATTAAGTGCAAGCATCAAAGGGTGGAGAAGGTTAAAAAGAAGAAGCCACGTAAATTTGCTTCTTCACTGTAAAATAAAGTAAATCTTTAAATTTATTCAACCGAGGCAAATCAATTCTTCGGCATATCGATACGCACACGGCAAGAACAAATGATCTGACCGACTGCCAGTCACTATCGTACATATTTGCCCGTCAATTCGTTTCGCGGTTTTTACTTGCTCTGTGTCAATTTTTTTCTTACTGTTTGCAATCTATATGTGCTGAACTAAATTGTTTTTCATTATAATTAAAATGCACGGATGACTAGAGATTTTTATCAATTTTTTTTTCAATCATTCCAATCTTTCGTCACGCAATAACCATCTTTGGTAATAATTTTTTTTCTTGCTCTTCAAGAATGGAGAAGAAAAAAAAACGGATCATCTACTGGCTGATGAATGGATAGACTGAATCTTTTGAAAATCCTTGAGGTGAAAGTTGGTCTACTGTTATAAAAACGATGTATGGAAACAAGACTCGAAGAGTACCTTGATCTCAAGAAAGTCCCTGAAACTCGTTTTAACGAATAAACAAATAAATAAAAAATGAGTGCTCGAGAATAAGCAAAGAAAGAGAATACTGCACTAATAATGCTCGCACCCTTATTTCCATAACCCACTGTCCTCTCTTCTCTTCTCAGAAAATCTCCCTTTATCAGGTCGGCATGCAACGGGTGGACGGGACAAAAAATAAAAGCATCGAAACAAAATCGAATTGAACGAGACAAAATAAAATAATAAAGAAAAAAACGGTCTACGAAGTGTGCTCGTAAAGGCGTAGGTGCGTCGGACGGAAGAAACGAGCCTGCTACTTATAAATCAACGGCGGTCCCCCATAATTGCGATTGTCCGTGGTTCTGCTTCGTCCCCTCCGACCCTTCTTAACTCTTTTCACTACTATACACTACCAGGCCAAGTTCTCTCTCGTGTGTTGGTCCACCAACGATCGTTACATGGAACTGAATACGCATATGTTACTTTTGCGTTACAGATACAGACATTGAAAACATTCGCAAAGCTCTGAGAGGCTTTCGACATTTCGTTGTCTCAACTTTCTGGGCCTTGTTGTTACAGTCACGAGCCTGTACAAATATTTCAAAGCTGTCGGATCCATGCTCTGCTTCTTTTTGTTTATTTTCTGGAGACTCTTTGGGACTTCAATCAAATCATTTTTTTTTATCAATTAATTTTTATATGAGTTTTTTTGTTGAAGTTTTAAAACAATTGTGGTAAAAATAACTTCAATAAAAATTGACTTCTGATTGACTTTTGTTAAATGCAACTTTGTAATGTATTTTTAAATTAAACAGTTAATTTTTTTCTTATGTTTAAATTGAAATCATTTTACATTTGATTAAATAAAATCTTTAAAGTACACAAAGCCTTTAATTTTCTTTTAATCTCAACAAATTGTTCGAAGAATTTCAAATTACCTCTGAAAATATTTTTCAATTGTAATATATTTTTTTTGTAGAAACTCTAAAATAAGTCTAAAGATAGACTTCTAGAAAAATCGAAACAAATTAGTGGCTATTTGTTGATTATCATTATTATTCTCCACTTTCCAGTTTTTTTGAAAGAGTATTTACTTCCGGTTAACTTGGCAACTGAAATAATTTTTTTCAAGTGTCCCATTAAATGTTCTTTGTGTTACATTTCATGTATCCCTATCTGTTGGTCTACTTAACGAAAGTACAATTCTTTTTGAACCGTAATCCCTCAAACATAATTGGAAATCGTCGTATATTCGTGAATTCTTTTCGATGTTCTGAAATTCTTTGGAGAGTAATCCTAACATCCCACATATATCCGAAGCATTGGGGTGTCTTTCCACTCGACTGTCTTTCTCTCTCTCTCCATCTGTCTCTCTTTTTCTCCCTTTCTCTCGATGTTTCCCCACCACAAAGCTGTGTCTATATGTTGGTACACGTGCGTGTTCATGTGGTTTCTATGTGTGGCTTACACTGTGTCTATCCTTGTCACTCGCACGGAGGAAAAAGAGACTCTTCATCGGGATGAGGTGTGGCAACGTTGCGAGAGCGGGTGTGCGTCCTGAGGCGGACTGATCCTGGTGGGGACTGTGGGAAAATTCTCATGCCGCCGACTACGAAGATCAGTGACTCTCAATCTGGGACTTAATCAAATAAAAAAGCCAACTTTTAATCAAAATAAACTTTAATGTTGCTTCAAAATTTTCTACTTCACTTGCTCGGGTGTTTTTCTTCATTTCCTTCAGTAGTTTATCGCTGTTAAAAGTCGAGGAACTTTTTTTCATCTTGACTTTAATGATCTATGGATTAACTGCCGATAGAAAAGAGCACTGGATGTTTTTATAAAATCATTGAGAAGAGTTAGATTCATTGAAGTATCAAAAGAAGTGGAGAGAAGTGTGATTTAACTCCTGAATGAGAGACTCTGAAGGCTGTCGAAGGCCCGCGAAGTGAAGAAGGTTATACTACGGCCCGTGTTCCCCCCACTAAAAAGCCACGAGAGTGGCACCGGGTGGCCACGAGGCTTCGCCACAGGGGTGCAAAGGAAAAATCAGTCTTATTTCTTCGTCCACCCTGTGTGTCTTTTTCAGTTCAAAACCTGTCCAAGGTTACTCAAAAATATTCTTATTTCTTTTTTTCTTTTTAAAGAGCAAAATCCACAGCTGAAGTGTAGTCAACAAGAGAATACTTGAAACTTTCTAATAAAAATATTTGTGACCATTATTAGAGAGGGAGAATAAAAAATTGATTGTATAAATAAATAAAGAGACACGATCGAATGGGTCTCTTGTTTTCGATCGCTATCCCTTATCCTTTTATGGTATAATCATTTCACCGTGATACTTAGTCCTCGTTAGAGACGCCTAATGGTCTCTGTATCTAATATATAAGATTGGAGCACCCAGAACTCGATCTCGTTTAAATTTCTCGCCTTCGATCGTTTGAAAATCTCGTTAATCAAGTTTCTATCGATACTTTTATAGGAATTTAAGGGAACCACTTACATCATTTTTTTCCGGGATTTTGCAAAAAATTCTATTCCGATGAAAAATTTCTAGAGATCGGACGAGTTTGGAATTTTTCTTCTTTT